AGAAGCCCCCTCTGTACCTTCATTGAATGCTTCTTGTGCTTCTTGGCTGGTGCAAGGAATCACTTGGATCCTGCTCCCCATCGGACTACTGAGAAGGGGAGAGGGGACTCTCAGCCGAACCCGTGCATTGTTGGCCACCGCTGTATGAGAGTCTTTTTCTCCCATTATCTTTTTAAGACTTAAAGTAGGAGTTCATTTATCAAAAGCATGTTTTTGTGCCTCGTAAAGCAGAACACAGGGACAAATGCTGGTGAAAAATGAGCGCTCTGCTTCTTGGGTGGGATTTTTTGCAATAAATATAACGGAAACAAGTAAAGGCTGGGAGTCATAAGTCAGTAGGCCTGGATCTTACTTGTGCTGGAGGCACTGGTGTTGGGTGATGAAGGTTTTCAGTCCTGTTCACAGGAGATCCTTTCAGGCTGTAAGAAGCCCTGAGCATATCCCCGAGAACTCCCAAACCGATCACTGTGAAATTCCAATATAATTACTTGACATCAAGGGTGGGACATGTTTCGCTCAAGGACCATCTAAGACCCATAAAATCATTTGGTCTGGTCCTGCCAAGGCTTTAGGGGTGAGTTAATTAAATGTTTGACCAAATATAGCAGGCTAATTTTTAATTTAGTAACTTTGTATGGCCCTCAAATGATGTTATAAATATCCAAATGGCCCTTGGCAGAAAAAAAAGGCTTCCTACTCTGGCTTTACACGAATGTGAAAATTACTTTTTTAGCAAGCCACTTCACCTGGATCTAACATCTGTGTTCCGGTTATAGTTTTTATTGCTGCACTAGAACCGTCATGTCACAATCTACAGGAAATGCACAGTGACTAGGCAGCACACATATGGACTCATATTATGGCTATATCACCATGATCAGTATGTGCACAGTATACAGAGGGTGCCAAATGGCCCAGAAGATCCAGCCTGTAGTCCTTGGCTCTCTGTCACTTACTAGTGGAGAGCTGTTAAATTAGTTACTTAATGTCTCTGTACTATAATTTTCTCCCCTGATAAATGTGGATAATAACATGCCAAGATACGTGAGATGATTAATGAAGCTAATTCAAGTAACCTAAATGAGTAGTGCTAAGGTTATTGTTGTTACTACTGTTACTGTAGCTATTACTATGCTTCTTAGCATGTAAGAGTTATGTTTTCTTACCTAATAATGATTAACAGTATATATTAAGTTTATACTCTGTAAATTTCTGTGCTGCATACACTATAGGATTTTTTTTATTCTAAAGTTTTATAACAGCCTACAAAGTGGTTTTTATTCATATTGCCATTTTCAGATAAGTAAACTGAGAAAGTTTAAGTAATTTGCCAAGGCCGCCCAAAAAAATATATATATTTACATCTTGCTACTTCTTCCCTTCCCTTCCTCTCTCCCTTCCTTTCTGCTTCCTTTCTTTCTCCACACAATGCCTTGCAGTTTGGTCTTTAACTGAATTTGGTAATATCACAAATATGTAACCTTATCACGATCTCTTTTCCAGTCTCCAGGTAGCAGATGTAATTTTACACATGTTCAGCAAACATTGGGAACCTTTGCCCATGGTCAATAGAGCGTATATGCAGTGGAAGCAAGCTGAGTTCTGATAGAACAGTATGTCTGTAGTGGACGGTGTGACCTGGATGGAGTTGGTGAGCCTCTCAGGATTTTAGTTCATGAATCTGCATTCATTAAATTATCTTTGTTGGTTTGAGTTAACATACCATCTACCATTGAAGATGGAGACGGCATTTAAGAACTGCTCCATAAATACTAAGTCACATCCTCCAAATCAACTTCTTCAAGAATGCCTATGACATATTGTATGACCATCTTGCCTCACTATCATTTAAATAATATTTCTTATATCAGCACTGTAATGATTCCATTTGGATAAAGATAATAAGCTTTTAAATTTTCTCAGTTAAAACATTGGGTGGGTATTCATTTTCATACTTCAAATTTGAATTAAGATAGATTTCTTCACACAAAAATTCTCTAATCCTGCCATAGTTGATGAATCTTTTTTTCAGCGTGGGAGAAAGGGTGTTTTGGTTTTAAAATATCTTAAGTTTTTCAAATAGGAAGAAGGTTTATACTATATTTGAAAGAGCAGAAACAACTTTAACCGGTGATAGGTATGATGAATATTGGGAATTCAGTCTAGCATAAGGGCTGTTCATAATTAAAATGAACACAGGGAACATAGACTATTTCAGTGTAAGGACTGTTTAAATAAGTGGTCTCTCAGGTGGAGCTGGCAAACGCTGTGAGAAGCAGCCTCTAAAATCCTGCTTTAAGCAGCATTTTCCTGCTTATTAATTTGACAGCTTTTTCTGCTGCTCTCAAGCTAACTACAGCAGCTTTAATCAGAGAGAGAACATGTTGTCAAATTGCTGCGACTCCAAGCCCATCAAAAGTGTAGAATGCCTTCAGGATTTAAATGAGCCTTGAGGGGGTCAAAGCTCTTACTCCCTATTTACTATGTCTAATGCCATCAACTTCGGAGACTGTAACCAATGAATGAAAACACTAATAATGCCTGTCTTCTGCTTTGCATTGACGACTTCTTCTATTCTATAGAGCTGTGCCAAACTTATGTCTCCACTCACTGTAGATGTTATCTTCTTTTTAAGTGCTGCAAATTTTGATACTATCATATATAACAGAGTATGCTGTGCTTTAATGCTATGAAGAAGTCAGTTACAGAAAAAACTAGTGCTAATCATACTGTTATTGGTGGGGAGAAGTTCTCATCCCCACCTGTTGCTTATGGGAGTGCATTTCGCGCTATATACCAAGAAAAGGAATTTTCTAAGACTCACATGGGAGGATGAGATATAGTAGAAAGCTTTATTACTGTGGAATGAAACCTTGCATTTCCAATGCCCCATTTCCTTTTATCACACCCCTGAAGAAGTCCCATTTTGCTTTTAGGGCTGAAATCAGAGCCAGTGTCCAGAGTTTCCATTCCATATTAGGAGATAGTCCAATACAGCATCAGGTCAGCGTACTCCGTGTTTTTAGTTATGGTCCATCAGTAAATTGCATGTGGGGTCTGCATGGCCATGGGCCACATGGGAGATTGCAAGAAAGTCAAGGGCAATATGAGCCAAGAACAACAAGAGAGCAAAATCCTTTGTTTAGGGGATTATGTATTCCCAAATTTTCACACACTTGAAGTGGCTCTGCCTACTGTGGCCCATGATCTCTCTTTCCAGTTGTGACTGAAACAAACATGTCCCCCAACTTCATTGCACATGCATCTATCTCCCCTTTGTCCAGTTCCTTCCCCCAGTGATTTGCAGGGAATGGGCTGGTGGTTCCCTTGAGATTGTGAAATTGCAGCTTCTAAAATGACCTAACTTAGAATGTCTGGCATTCCCTTTGCTCCTTTCCCATTATTAATAACTAGCTAATTACAATGATATCAATAGTACTGCCTGAGTCTTTGATTTTTTTTTATTATTTTCCCATGAATATTTTCATATCAAATCCATCATAGAATGACACAGATAATAGAAGTAGCCCTGGCTTTGTGCTGTACTTTTTTTAATTAAAACATATGAATACAGGAACCATGCCATTCCTTTGTATAGTTCCATGGTAGCCAAATACAGAAAATATCTCCAAAATTTCAGGCCCATGATCCTTTCTAATATGTATAGAGTTAAATTTAAAATATAGTATTGAGACCCTGGACAGATAGCTCAGCTGGTTGGAGCATTGTCCTGTACACCAAAATGTTTGCAGATTCAATCCCTGGTTGGTGTGCCATATGGAAGGCAACAGATCAATGAGATTGATGTTTCTCTCTCATCTCTCTCTCTAAAATCAACAAAAACTTCTTCAGGTGAAGATTAAAAAAATAGTGTTGGATGTCAGAAATACTTTATTTTGTAACTTCTGATGTATTTTTATGAATTTCATTCAATTCCTCTCCAATTCTTTTGGTATGTCACATTTCAATAGCATCTCTTTCTCATTCTTTTTCCTCACCTATTTCAATAGCTGAGATGAGCTGAGAGCACTGAGCTGCCAAATGTCAAGTGGTCAATTTAGACAAGTCAAAATGGAAGTAATTATCAAGCCCTTAATCACTTACCACAATAGTATAAGCTGTGTAAACAAGAGAAAGCCTTACCTCCCTCAATGTTCCATTTTTTCCACCTGTGAGTGAGGGTCTGGTGGATCTGTGCAGATGTGGCATTTTCTCACTGCTAAGGGAGCCCCAGACAAAAGGCTGCTGAAATTTTATTCACCCAGGAATCAAGGGAAGGCAGGGAGGGAAGGGTTGGGAGTGGAAAAGTACTGAGTGTGAGTTAGAGTGGAGAAAAGTGTCTCCAAGACACTCCGATAAAAAGGGATCTTGGCACAGGTGCTTAAGAGAGACGCCAGATAGAGGCTGGACTGCAGATCTGAGTAAGAGCACCTGGGCGGGTGGAGCCCTGGACTGCAGCTTCCTTAGAGTGCACGGTATCCTAGCTATGCATTAGGCCTGATGTAAGTTCGGCCAGTTCACCATGAGACCTGCCAGGTAAAATAGGACCTACTAGTATGTAATTTTCAAAGGTCCAGCCTGAAAGATCACACAGAAGGTTTTTGGCTGGAGTGCGACTCCTCACCAATGCTTTTCTTTGTTGAAAGATAACATAGACTTGTAGAGTTATTCATGTAATTAAAAGATAGCGCTATGGGCTGCAGTGTGTGTGTGTGTGTGGGGGGGGGCGTTGAATAAGAGATGTGACTAGTGTTCGCTAATCCTGAAAAACTAAAGTTCCTTATTACTCTCATGTTACTAATAATCTTACATCACAGGAAAAGGCAGAGAATCTTAGCATTTTTTCTGTGTGGAAAAAAATACTATTTGATATAAGATAGAGGCAACAGAAACTTGCCTAAGCATTTCTAAAATGTACAAATTAAACTGTTAGGTCTTTAAGAATATGAACCATGATATGTATATGTGCCATGTCACTAAGTTCATAGGATACTGCCGGAAGCCAGTCCATCCTTGCTGCTTGACACAGTCGCTGCAGGGAAGAAACATCTGCACAGCATATATTTCAAGGGACCTGGGGTATATAGCATACTGTTCTTAATATGTTTGCTCACCTCCTTGGCGCTATATGTTTTAACCAAGGTCACCTCTCCAAGAAAGGTTGTTTCCCCAGGTAGGGATTTTTCCCTGAAGTTAGGGAGGGAATAAAACCCCTTAACTAAATGCCAGGCGGGTAGTTAATCACTTTATCTATGAACAATCATGCTTAAACTACATAATCTTTACTCCCTGGAATGGAGATAAGAAACGCCCTAACCTTTGGAATAGAAATTGAAAGGATTAAAATCAACTGGTATAAATACAGATGTAACAAGAGAATAAACACAGAACCTGGCTGGAGATCCTGGCTAGAACCAGGTGAGAGAACCCAACCATGCTGATCAACTGAATGCTGCCTCCATGTCATTCCTTCTTCGTCGACTCCGTCCACACCTTTGGGAACCCCTGGACCTGCTGGGGCTGAACCCCAACAGGATACCAAATAATTTTTACTTGGTATTTTCAAGTACATAGTAGCCCAAATAATTTTTACCTGGCATTTTCACTTTGTGCAGAAAATTAGTAAAATTTGAAGCTCAATGATAGCAAAAAGTAAGTCCATCCTGTATCTATACATATAGTGTTAACCTTTTCTTTCATTTTAAAAAATTTTTCACCTTTGCATGGGAAGCATTTGTATATATATATTTCACACATGCATTTGAAAAGAAAGGAAAAACAGTGGGATATTATAAATGCATATTTATATAACTATATAATGTGCATATTTATAAACAGATTTGCATATAACAGTGATGGTGAATCTATGACATGCGTATCAGAGGTGACAAGCAAACTCATTTTTTTTGGTTGACTTTTCTTTGTTAAATGGCATTTAAATATATAAAATAAATATCAAAAATATGTCTTTGTTTTACTATGGCGGCAAATATAAAAATAATTTCTATATGTGACATGGCACCAGAATTAAGTTAGGGTTTTTCAAAATGCTGACACGCCAAGCTCAAAAGGTTTGCCATCACTGGTATATAAAGAGAATATTTAAATTTGTTCTATATCTCATATACATTATATATACTGTGTTCCAGAATTTTAAATTT